CCCCATCTCTCACCCCCCTCAATAAATATATCCTTGGGTGAGGATTTTTTTTAAAAAGTGTGTCCCTTCAGGACCGAAGGAAAAGGAAGACAGGTAAACCCATCCTCCCCTGGTTAGAGCCCACGCATCAGTATGGTGGGCGCCTCTCTCTCCACAAGGGCAACTCCCGAGACCCCGGGTGCCACCGACAGTCTCGACCGGCACAAATTCCACTTGGTGCCACAGGCCTCACAGTTGTTCTGTGACCTCGCTCACTCCTCCCCGTGGTGCGTGGTCACATAGGGCCTTCTCAGAGTCAGCACAGAGACAGGCCTGCCCCGCCAGGGTCGGGGTTCCATGGGCTCCTCACCCCACCCGCCCGGCCCCGAAGGAGCTGCAGAAAGCGGGGTCAGCAGGGCCCCTGAGGGAGAAACCAGGGGAACAGAGAGGAAGTCGCTCTTTTTATTACTATTTACTGAGCTGGGTGCCCAAAGCGTCCTCTCGAAGGTCATTTTCCTATTTCCATCTTCCTGTTTGCAAAGAACTGGAAGTTCAACAAATAAGAGCCCAAGTCGAATTGGTCAGATCTTTGGGAGGACGTGCCCGGAGCCCCCCCGGCCGCGCCGCCCCGTCGGCCGGCCCCTGCTGACGGTGCTCTGCGGGCCGGGAAAGGTGCTGATGCTGCACAGCCGGCGGCGGGCGCTGCAGGCTGGCTTTGCTCATGCTTCCCAGACCCATTTTTAGACTCTGCTGTCATCTCGAGCCTGCTGCTGTGGGAGGGGGGGCAGAGTGCTGTGTCCCAGCGGGCAGATGCAGCCGACTGTCCCCCTGCCCGTGAGGTGAAAATAACGGGTGACGCCCGCTCGCCCGTGCCAGGCTCTACCCTGATGCCAGGGGAAGGGACAGGGACTGTCACGTCCCGAGACGTCACAGTACACAGCGCGCTCCGCCTTTCACAGCTGAGATTGCGGCTCAGGGAGGTTCTGTCACTTGCCCGAGGCCAGTGTGCCCTTTCCCCCTCATTCAACCCTGGCAGCTAACGCCCCGTTTCTGTGTCGCAGGGGAAGAACAAGGTGAGGCGCGTGAAGACCATTTATGACTGCCAGGCGGACAACGACGACGAGCTGACCTTCATCGAGGGGGAGGTGATCGTCGTCACGGGGGAGGAAGACCAGGAGTGGTGGGTGCGTACTGAGAGCACCGCTCGTCCCCTGCGGGCTCCTCCAGCTTGTGAGCCTCGCCCGGCCCTGCGCGCACTGCCAGGCGGGAGGCCGCACCCCTGAGGCCAGGAGCCCCCCCTTTGTTGGGGATCTTCTGTCACCAAAAACAGCTATGGAGGCCGGAACTGGGTCGGGGGGTGAAGGCCGCTGTGCTTTATCCTGCGTCACACCCCACCTGTGAGCCAGGGGTGCTCTAGATGCTTCAGATGCAGAACCAAAGCCCAGGAGGAGCGCTGCCCGAGGCGCGTAGAAGCTTTCTGCAGGTTTGCAAAGCCAAGGCACACGCAGCAGAGGAAAACTGCCGTAGGCCCCAGCGATCGGGAACTTTCGCAACATCCTTTCCCCCGACAGCAACCAGGAAACAAGTGCTTGGTACATAGCAGGCCTTTGCAGATGACAGTCTTTTATGTAATCTCACCACAAGCCTGAGAGAAGGGGCTTTTTGGCCCCGTTTTGCAGACAGGAGGCTTAGCAAGCTCTGCCCGAGGTCACCCAGCAGGAAGGCAGGCGAGCCCCCAGCCGAGAGCGCGCACTCCGGGGTCTGTGGCCGGTGCGAGACCGGGGATGGGTCCTGCCACTTCCCTAGGCCACTGTCCTTTTTTTAAAAAAGCAAAGTACAAATTTTATTTTGTGTATAAGGGCACGGGGCCTCTTGGTTTCTCCCTCCACTGGTGTGCTCCCCACCCCGAGCCGTCTCCGTCCGTCACCATTTATCCCCTCTGCCTTCTTTCGCCACCTCCGACCCCTTTCCCTCTGGCAGTCGCCGCACTGTGGTCTGTGTCTATGAGTTGGTTTGGTTTTTGTTGTTTTGCTTAATCCCTTCACCTTTTTCAGCCAGCCCCCAGCCCCCCGGCCGCTGGCAGCCCGCTCTGTGAGTCTCCCTGTTGGTTCACTTTGTCCATTAGGTTCCGCGTGTGAGTGAGATCATGTGGTACCTGGCTTTCTCGGACTGGCTTGTTGCACTTAGTGTAACGCTCTCCGGGTCCCTTCGTGTACAGAACGAGGGTCCTCGTGGGGCCGACGGGCGGGCGCGAGACCCAGTGAGAGTGCCGACTGCTCTGTGCTTGTCGCTGTGCTGTGTAGTTTGTCGTCATCAGCTCTCTGTGGTTCCCAAAGGGTGGCCGAGGGCAGGCCTGCTCCCGCCCCGGTCTTCGGGCTCCCCCAGGCTCTGACCCACCAGGCCTGACGCCTCTCGTTTCTCCCACAGATCGGCCATATCGAGGGACAGCCCGAGAGGAAGGGGGTCTTCCCAGTGTCCTTTGTCCACATCCTGTCGGACTAGCGAGAAGCAGAACCTGAGACTGTCCGCGCCCTTCATGCCAGACTGCCGCCTACGCGTGCTCCTGCGCACACGTGTACATAGCTGCTGTTACAGGCGGAACCCGCGGGGGGCCGCCCCCGGAGGGGAACATGGTGTGTGTTGTAAATAAATACCCTGTTGTCTTCTGCCTTCGCCAGTATTAATGGGAGCCTGGGACCGGCATGTCTCACTGGTCTGCCAAAGCCGTCCTTGGCATCTAGCACTTACATCTCTCTGTGCTGTTCTCCAAACAAACAGGAACATAGGAACTGCTGGCTTTGCAAATAGAACTGGTCTCAGCCGCTGAAGGGCATGGCATCGACTCTGCTCCAACAGTGCAGGGTTCTCAGTCGTGTTACTGAAAACGCACGCTAGCGAGAGGTGGGTCCTGTCTCCCGGGGGAGACTCGGCTCCGAGACAGACCAGCCTGCAGTTTTCTGTGTATGCAGTTTACAGCGCCAGCACCTGCTGTGGTATTTATTACAGGGACGTGCTCAGTTAAACGTGTTATTCCATCAGCAGAGCAGTCACTGACCCCAAGCCCTGGGTGGCATTCGCAGTGCCCACCGCCTCGTGCGAGTTCAGACCAGTGGATTCGTACTGTCTTGTGAGGAGTACCTGCCCCTGAGATGTTACCTCATTATGCAGAAATAACTTAGCCTTCATGACTATTTTGACAAAAGTTTAAAACCCCTCGGATGAAGTTCAGTTTTCAGGAACCAAGGACTGCCAGAAACATTAGCTCTACGTATGCATGCATTAGACGCTTACCTGGAGTCTGCCTTTTGTAAAGGAGCAGTGCAGAGCAGCGGACTGTACATTTTAAACCTGGTTGCCATTAAAAGCAGAAATGATGAGGTTGCGACAATATTTGTTTCCAGCCAACCCTTTGGCTTTCTTAAGAGTGGATTTACATGTCATATTATGAATTAGCATCCCTCCCATGTGTTAAAGCATCTCATGCGTCAATTTAAATTAGGTGCGTAGTTCTGTTCCTGACAATTTTAAACCCTTAAAAGAGGATTCAAGCGGATGGTGGATTTAAAAGTCAACCCTGCACGCGGCCTGCCCACCGTAGAACCCAGGTGCTGAAACCAACCTCGTCTTTTCTCCAGGCTCTTTGTTAAACCCCAGTCATAGGGAGGTTTTCCGGTCCCAGGCCCTATTCAGTAGACAGGTTGCCTCCAAGTCAGCCCGTAACCGAGGTTCTAAACGCTGCTGGGAATTGCACTGTGAGAAGGCCCTTCCTGCAGCGAGTCCCTGGTGGCTTTCTTTTCATCCCAATGTGTTGATCAGAACATTAGGAGCATCGTGCCTACTCCGGCCTCCTGCATGAGTCGGAATTTCGGAAAGAATACACCTGGTTCCCTCCCCAGCCGGTGGGGCTGCACTCTGCCCGGAGGCTCGTGTGTCGTCCTGCCATTGCATTCGCTTAAACTGCTCTGTTGGCAACCGCACAGAAAACGAACATTTCCAAGCAGATAATCTTGGCATTGAGTGAGACTCGTTCATTTCACAGAAGCACAACTCCCAGCCGAACCCTTAGGAAAAGCCGTCATTATCAGTCACAGCGCCCAGTGAGTATTAATTTAGTTCTGCTTAGTGTTTCTGTGAAAACTTCGAATAGCCACCTGATTAATAAACCTCGCATGGCAGACCTGCAGCATATGCCTCAGCTGTTAGTGGAAAGTGACTTTAAGCAGTTGCTTCCCCAGCGTCCTCACAGCACATGTGACTCCCACACAGGAGCGTCAGGAGCGGGCGACGTGCTGGTGCGTGGCCAGCAGTGTTTGCAGCCTCAGGACTTGAGCCACACTCGTGTCAGGACAGGAAGTCACCGTCCCCAGTCCCTTATGTCCTGGTTCATTCAGTTACACATTTTCAGTTGCTTTAAGAAACTTCATTTTTGTGGCCTACAGTATTTTAACTGATCTCAAAATAAACTGGTTTCTAAACCACCACAAAAACTAGATGTCTAAAGTGACCTGGAATCTACGTCTGCTCTTTCGCCCCTTTCGCAGCAACTTACACAGATTCTTAACACCTTTTATTTTTTCAGGGTTTGTCTTTTTTTCCATCAGGAATCTGAGTTCTCTAACCCAGCTTACCGTGGGACATAGGAAAACTAGGTATAAATACCTGTGCTGATCTCGGTTGAGTTGAATCTGACATTGTAATTAACTCAGTGAGCCACTATCTGCAGTTTTGTACATGATACAGTATTTTGAAGGTATGGAACCTTATGAAAAAAAATAGCTAATTCTTTTTTCCCCCAGAGGGGAAAAGTATGTTCTGCAAATAGTGTGTCTTATTTTACTGTTGAACAGCAATTGCTATTTATTTTTTTATTGCCTAGAACTCCACCCTGTTGTATAGGACTCCCGTATGCCACTCGTTAAATTCCGAATCTCATCTGGATGTTGCGCTCAGACATCAGTACACTTGTCATTTCACATGTATTTAATGTGACAGTTCTTTTCAGTACTGTATGTGTTCATTTCTACTTTTTTTAATATTTAAAATTGCTTTTAAATAAACATATTCTCAGTTGATCCCAAACATCTGTAATCAGGCCATTCTGTGAGTTGTCCTCTCCCCTTTCATTTGGAGAAAATCAAGACTCCCCTTTGCTGTGCTTTGGGGGGGTATAGATAACACAAGTCATTGCAACTCCTGTGTAAAAACTCGCTTTGGATACATAAAAATGTGCTTCAGTTTCCTGGACTTACAGAACATGGCCCTCAACATCTTGGTGCCCCCCCATTCCCACTCCCGCCTCCACGGCACCCACAGGCAGGAAAAAGGGAGGGGATGCCTGGCTCGGACCGCGTGCTGTGCGTGTGTCTGCCATGTAGCTGTGGCTCCTGGTGCCCCCCGCGGCGAGCCAGCCCGGGCCCAGGCGCCTGCTTGCGTCAGCTCGTCCCCACCGGGTCAGTGAGAGGTGCGAATGCCTCGGCCTCCCGGAGCTTGAAGATGAGTCCCAGATCCACTGCCGTGCAGGAGATGTCATGGCTGGTAAGCGACCGAGTTAGGAGACCAGACGAGTGGTTCTGGCTCTGAGGCCACCATGGGGATTCCTGCCCACGTGGAAGACAGTCCCCGTCACAAAGCTAGCCAGAGACAGCGGTGGAGAGCTGACGGGCCACGGCATTGGACATTCTGAAGCGTCGGTCTCCTTGTTTCTTTTCAACAAACTGGGCAGGTACGAGGCCTGTCACACACTAGTGAGGACCCCCCTACGAGTGCTGCCGAGGGGCGGGCGAGGGCATGGAAGCCAGGGAGTCGGTCGGGACGTTTCTGGGAGAGACCGACATAATTATCTGGATAATTCAGGCAAAGGGCAGCCTGCTTTCCACGTAATCACAGAAGGGTACGGTGTTGGCGTTGATGTAAACCTGGGACAGTATCTGTTTGAAGTTAATGGACCTGCCCCAGTGAAAGCGGCCCCTTCGTTACATGGGGCCCCCACAGCCCTCTGCCAGCTGTGCTGGGAACCGGAGGCGCCCCGATCACTCCGCGGCCCCTAGCCCTCGGCGGGCGGCCTGTGTGCCCGACGCGTGTCAGTCCTGTGAGGTGACGCCCTCCTGAGGCGCACGCTCGGGTGAGATCGCTCACAGGGCTGAAGCACCCTGCTCCAGGCCACAGTAAGTCATGGCAGCCGCTGGAGCCCAAGCCCCCTCCCCAGGATGAGGGTGTCGCTGGCGAGGGGTGGGTGTGGTAGTGCCACCTGCTGTGCTTTGCCCTCGTCTGTCCCGGATGACAGTCTTATTTCCAGAGTCCGTGGTTTGTGGTACTTGGGAGCTGATGGGCTCACCTCTGCAGCAGGGGCGCCTGACCGAGGGCGTGAATCTCTGCAGGCACACGCACACGCACACGCACACGCAGTGATGGACGGAGCAGCCTTCCAGCCTGACCTCCGCAGCCCGAGGCCTGGGGTGAAGGGCCGGTCGGCTCAACCATGTTACATAACCCTGAACGTTAACGTGCTGTTACTGTGCTGCCAGGACCGTGGTTACAAAGCCCTGTCCCTGGGGAGGTCGCAGGCTGGGGAGTAATATTACCGCGGGGCTCACCTGGTGGGAGCTTCCTGGGGGAAAGGGGGTCTGCAGCATCCTGGGCCTGCCGGATTGAGCAGGTGAAGGCGAGCAGCTGACACGGCTGGGAGGGACAGGGGGGCGTCCCGGAGACAAGACCCAGCGGGGCCCCCGCCTGCACTCCACCAGCACTGCCGGCCACGCACCTGGGGGGGGCACCAGACCGGGCTGGGAAAGCGGGCGCGGTCATCCGCGTTCCGGGGCACCACGCAGCGGGGCTCCGGTTCCCCCCGTTTACAGCATAGGAGGCTGAGGCTCAGGGAAGTGAAGACGAGACTTGCCGAAAGTCAAGTTGCTCGTGAAGTGTGGAGGCTGGGCTTGAACCCTGAGGTCAGGCCCCGAGCAGCCCCCGGCCCTGGCCCCGGGCTGCCTCTGCTGCCACTGGGTGTGTGCCCTGGCTGCCCTTCCTGAAGAGAAACTGGGCCAAAGCCGCCCGCCTCCTGCAGACAGGTCAGCCGGCCAGGGGAGAGCGAGCCAGGGAACGCGATGACATTTCCCACTCGGAGAAGGCTGGAGCCTGCCAGAGGGGCCACCAGGAGCGTTTCCTGGACAGCTGCTCCGCCTTCGGGGGCCAGAGGTGGAGCTGGCTCACAGGGTGCCTGCCGCCTGCAGGATGTGACCCAGGAGAGCAGAGTGACACTCTGAGCACCGCAGCCCCGTAGGCAAACGTCGAAACTCTTAAGCTCCTGAAAACAGGAATTAGAGCTCAGATAAACACAGCTGTTTTGCAAAAACCTTACCACAGAGCAAACCCAAGTCAGAGGCTCAGAGGCCAAAACTGTGACCTGCAAAACCACCAGGGGACAAGACTTGTTCAGCTTCATGCTTTTGGGGACAGAGCTTAAATATTTGCCTCACAGGTCCAAGCAAATTTGAGGATGAGAGATGGCAAATATGTCCCCTGCATGCCAGCCTGAAACTACATCAGGGCCAGGCTTTCCAATTTGGGCAGCATCACCTGGAGCCTCAGCATTAAAATCAGATCCCTGGGCCCTTTCCCTGGAGTATCAGAGGGGCCTAGGGATCTGCATTTCACCAGCATCCCCAGGTGAGGCCCAGACCACTGCTCAGCTCCTAAGAATCTAGAATTGACCCAAAAAGGGAGGGTCAACCAGAGTCCAGAACCTCTGCACAGCAGCCCCTTCTAGTAACGGTGAGACCCCTCCTCACAGCCCAGCCCACACCTCCAGCTGTCACTCCTGCTAGGTTAAGGTGCAGGGATAGCATGGGGGATATGGAGTTTGGCAGAACTAGTCCCGCCCTGCCTGGGGTGCTTAACAGCAAATGTGTCCGACAGACAGTTGTTGAGAGGCCCTCCTATGACCAGCCCCTCCCCGTGTGACCTGGAGCCACCTAAGCTAGGAGAGCCTCCGGTTTCCTTAGATGCTCCACGGAGCTCGGACCCTATGACCTTGCACATACAACAATGCTCGGTCACCTGCCAGGTACCCTGTGCCCACCCCTAAAAAGCCAGACATGCATTTTCCAGGCTCAGCACTGGCTTCCCCAGTCGGGTGTGAGCCAGCATGCAGGGCCTGGTCCCCCCCCCGCCCCATCATCAGCACAGCTCCTGCCCATCCCTAAGGGTGGCAACTTTGGAGCCTGGCCTGGTGGGTCATGGCCATTTGTTACCCAGAGGGACAGGATTGGGGGAGGCTAAGAGTCAGGTTTGAGAATCAGAAAAACATGGGCACAGAGCCTTAATCTCTCCAAGCCTCAATTTCTTTCTCTGCCAAATGAGATGATAATACCAACATCCTAGAATTAGTGTGAGAATTAAAGAGTAATGCAGCGGTGCCAGGAAAGTGCTTGACCCCTAATGCTTGGCTCGCAGTAGACAGTAATTATGAGCACACGTCCTCTCAAAAATGATAGGAACTTTAACGTCACCTTTCCTGGTGACAAAGTGAGAAATCAGACACCAATCTCCTCAAGGCTTGACATGCGGTCAGTGACCACACGAAACCTGGTGGAAGTTTCTAGAAGAGCACCCACTGTGGGAAGGAGGTGACGTTAGCACGGGGAACACCCACCCAACCAAGGGTCAGGGCTCTGCCCACTTGCAGGAACAATGCTGACCCCACCCCGTACGCAGGCGTCCGCACAATGGGCCCCTGTCACAGAGCTGCAGCCCCACGTTCACAAGAACGCATTGTCCGAAGTGCAGGCTCAGTTCCTGCTCAGCTGGAACCACTTGGAAATCCGACCCCGGGCTCCCGGGCCGGCTCCAGCTCCGGTGCCAGTCAGCTCCTTCCCTGTCCGGGCTCGTTTCGTCTCTGCTGCAGGAGGAAAGCTCTAGAGCCCCTGGGGCAGCGAGCCCCCCAGGCTGTCCCGCTTTCCCTTCCAGACTCGTGCCGGTGGCCTGGGGTCCACTTGCCCACTTTTTGGGTCTGTACCAAAGTGGAAGGTGCCGGGTTGGTGAGCCGGCCCGTGAGGAAGGAGAGAGGGAGCAAGTTAAGGGCGCAGAGAGGAGGCAGAGGACAGGAGCCGAGTCCGGGTGAAGTTCCCTGAGAGCCTGTTCAGCCCCCGAGCACGTGCGCGCCCTGTGACCCACACCCCCAGGCCCTAATGTGTGCTCTGGGCCAAAAGAATGTGCTGGAGCGTCCATAGCGTGACTACTTAAAATAGTATAAACCTGTAAGCAGCCCAAATGGCCACCAACAGAATGCTGAATAAACTGGTTCTTATTCACAGTGTCCACAGTAATGAGAATGGACCCTGTGCCACCACCCACAGCAATTCAGATGAATGTCACAAACCATGTTCAACACAAGAGCCAGACTCAAAATAACTCACCTTTGATTCTCCGTAATGTACAAAAATAGGTAATCTCTATGGTTACAAGACAGAATCGTGTTTACCCCAAGGGGAACTTGAAGGAGATGCTGGAACTTTAAACACCACCTTCCCTGCTGACATGTGAGAAATCAGAGACGCCAGTCTCCTCAAGGCTTGACATGCAGTCAGTGACCACATGAAACCTGGTGGGGATTTCTAGAAGAGCCGTTTTAGGGGTGCAGACACTGTTCTGTTTCTTTCTCTGGGCGCTGGTCATGCAGGTTTTTCCAGTTTGTGAAATTCGGAGAGCTGCTCACTTCCGATCCTGCTCTTCTCTGCATGTGATGCCCCGGGGGGTGCCCGTCAGCGTTTAACCAGCTCTCCCGTCGCTTTGACTTAATTTCCCTGGTGACCAATGGTGCTGGGCATCTTTTATGTGCTTACTGGCCATTTGTGTGTCTTCTTTGGAGAAATGGCCAATAGAAACTGAACATTTAAAAACTGGACTGTGTGTCTTGTCGGTACTGAGTCGTAGCAGTTGGTCTGTCTTCTAGATACAGACCCCGTATCAGACGCGACCTGCGAAACCTTTCTCCCGTCCTGTGGCTTCTCTTCCTTCCACTCTTTTGAACATGGGCGCGTCTTCAGACGATGGAACTTGCAGAAACGATAAACCCCAAAGGCTTC